CCGGCCCCGCGGCTGCATTCAGCCACCACAGCGTAGGAATGAGCCTTCCCCAGTCTTCCCCGGTTTCCCTTCGCCAGAGGTCTGAAGGTTGCAGGAGCGGAGCCAGCTCCCCAAGTCACAGGACCTTCAGAGAGCGGCTCAGATCAGTGCTACGGGGCCAGAGCTTCAGGTTTTGCTCAGTAACCCCAAGGGCTGCAGGCTTGTTAGCAGAAGAAAGAAGGAAGGGTTTTCATCCTTGCGTGGTCACCTGGTGCTGGGCCCTGGGATGCTGTGGGAAGCAGCAAACACTGGTGGACCTGTGAGAAAAATCACAAGAGCTGTCAATACTGGAAGTAAAAGCAAAGAAAACCAAAAGGAGGGAATGCACAGGGACAAGCAGCTGTTAAAGGGGCAGTCTCCTAACCCCTGTTAGAAACTGAGCATGCCCCCAAAAGGGAGACGTGCTGGGCAGGGTCCATCTACCACTCTCCTGCTGCTGTTCCATGTTTTCTATTTGCTTGTCTGAGGGGTTTTCCCAGGCTTTTGCTTGCCCTGTATGTGCTCACTTGCTGGCATGTGGCCGCAGCAGCCCTGCTTGAAGGCATCAGCCTCCCCCTTGTCTCTGCTAGCCCCATAGGGTCCTACGCTCAGCCACAGCCCCACACTGATGTTTGGACTTTGGGCATCGCTGACTACATGAGGAGCAATGGGTCCTGGGGGACGCTGGCCATGGGCAGGCAAGATGCAGCCTGGGCAGCCTCCTGTAACCAGCCGGGCACAGAGCAGTGATGAGCTGAAGCTCCTCGTTGCTCGCCATTGCTCTGCAGAGCCCTGGTGTAGGCAGCACAAATGCTGGAATGTGTGTGGTGGGGTGGGGTGGGCTGGGGGTGCTCCCAGGGAAAGCACTGAGCTCCAGGAGGTACCGTGGACAAGGGGGGAGAATGTGGGCTGCTATGAAAGTCCTCTGAGGCCTCTGCGTGGCCAAACAAGTGGCATCTGTGGACACCAACAAGGTCAGGCCATGCCCAAGTATGCTGCCAGTCCCAACAGAGCTATTGTGGGGGCTCAGGACCTGCTCCAGCCGGTTAAGCAAGGCAGGGGTTGGCTGCACCCTCCTGCTCCAGTCCCTGTGGTGGCAGTGGGACAGGGATGCTCAGCCCCTGCTGCTTGCCAGGTGCTGGGGGATGGGAAGCACTTGCCGGGCAGGAATTGTTTCTAATAGGCTGGACCTGTTCCCATTGCTGTCTTTTTCCCTTCTCCACTGCACAACTCAGTAGGGTCCCCACGGGAATGTCACTAGGATGGTGACACCAGGACTTAGGGGTGACACAGGGATCCAGGGATGACTGAACAATCTCCGCTTAGCTGTGAGTTAATGTACCAAGACCTCACTCCCCACATTTACGGAGTTTTGTGTTTCCAGTGGGCTGGATCTCACCAGGCTGGGGCTTGCTGGGAGCAGTGACCGCTGTGCCAGCCCAGCGTCCTGCAGCCGCTGCGCAAGCGGGAAGCGCCTGCGCCGCGGGAGGGGGGCTGGCGGTACGGGGC